GATGCGGGGTGCAGCGCAGCTGACTTTGTAGGGAGAGATTATGCCCGTGCAACTGCCTGACCGAGTGTGTGCTCAGCTGCTAAGCAGATTAGACCGTTGTGAGATGTGGGGCTGACTGTGTTGCCATTTCTTGCGTTGTCCCTGCCCCGTACTCTGTATCCTTACCTACGTCCTTTTTGACCCCACAGCTGCTTTTATTAGTCCCATCTACAGCGATCCACCCCTTGGTCATGTTGTTCTGAGTTGTGTGGTCAGCACAGGTCCCCCCAGCCCCTGTACTGGGGGGGAGCCGTGCTCACCACCATTACTGCTCGGGTCCGGCCCAGGGCGGCCGTATTGTCATTGATGAGATACTGAGAAGACGTTGTATCGTTGTTGTTGTTGTCTGTTGTCGCTGGAATTTGCTGATGTGCTTGCCATGTGAGTCGGCTGGCCACCCGGTGGGGAGGGTCTGGGATCAGGGGAGGGGCAGGCGGAAGTGTGGAGCAGGGCAGATAGGGAGGGAGAGAGGGAGACAGCGTAAGGGGAGGAGGCTTTGTCAGTGGGGGATGCGGAGGGGACGAGGAAAGGGGGGACAGAGTGCAGGGTGGGGAGGTCATCGGAAGGGGAGGGGGCAGTGAAGGTATATGGGGAGGGCGGCCGGTTGGGATCGGGGGGGGCAAGTCAACCGGGAGGGGGGAAGGGGGCGAAGGGACAGATGTAGGTGGGCAGGGCGGGAAAGGGGGAGGGCATGGCATTCTTTAATTGACCATTGCCCAAGGAGGATATGTGCCACTTCTTTTTCTTGTTTCTTTTCTGTTACGCACATTTATGGGCACAAGATTTTGCAATCTGAGCCCAGCGTTAAATCTAGATAGAGTGTTCTCATACTACAACTCTTTTGACAGAATTTGATTACAGTTGTGGTGAGATATTTCATGAAAGAACAAAGTCTGAGTATCTCCTCTAAATGAGACATAACATTCATGCATATACTGCCATAAAGGAGGTCCCTCTCGGGCAGCTTGGAGGCGCAGCTAATCCCCTCACAGGGGGCAATCAATGATGCCCGCCAGGACAGATAATCAGTACAAGGCCCAATCTTGCCTGGGGCGCTGGACCCAGTACCCAGGGGTGCAGCTCCCCGGCAGTAGATTGGAGACATCTGCAAGCAGGAGCCCACTATTGGAGGATGCTTTTATCACCTCCAATATTAGCCTCCCCCACAGATGTTTCTTCCTCCCCCCAAAAAAGGAAAAGGACAACCCTCTACTTTCCCACATGCAATCCCCCCAAAAGGGGGTTGGAAGACCCCTGCAAACTCAGATAACCTTTTTTTTTTTTTTTTTTTTTTTTTTTTGGAAGGCCCTTGTGCAAGACCTCTATCCTGGTGGTCGTAAGAGAACCACCGGGATTGAGGCTTTGCCTAGCGGGCCGCTCCATCTATTGGTGGGGAGCAACACCTGCTGGAAACCGGGCCCAGCGTCCCATAAATACATCTTTGCTACACAGTACATCAATGAGAGTGACACCAAAGTGCTGGAAACCGGGTCCAGCGTCCCATATCCACTCTACTCTTCCATACCTAACCTGCAGCAGGGTCGGGTATTGGGGGGGGAACCACCGGGGGCCACCAGTGGAGTCTCCCTCCATCCCCTAGCCTCTGCCATCCACCAACTATCCTCATGGCACCCATTGTACTCTGCAATAGCATGTGTTTTGAAAAGGCTGAAGCAACAGAAAACAGGCTGCAGTGAAATCAGCTGAAATCAGCTGAAATCTTTTTGAGAAATACAGAAGAATACTGAAGAATACTGAAAATTTCTGAGAAATAACCTTGAAAATTGCTTGTGGGACAATTCAATGGCAACCATAGGGGCCATTGGGATCATTGAATGTGATCTGTCTGGGGCTTTGGGGGGCTGTTGTGGACTTGCCTGAGGGTCCATTGAAGTCATTGGGATTACTGGTTTTTGTGAATTGGGATTTTGTGGATTGAAAGCGGAAAAAAAAAAAAAAAAAAGGTAAAGAAAAGAAATGAGTGCCTTTTTTTTTTTTTTTTTCTATGTGCGCTTGTTTTGAGTCTTTTCTGAGACGATGTATAGTTGTTTTCCAGCAATGTGTGTTCCGCAAACATGCAGGCCAGTGGGACAGTTGGGACAGCTAGGTTCATTGGGGCCACCTGTGTGTTTTTCCTTTGGGATCAAGAGGGCCTATGTCTCAGCCATTGAAACTTTGCGAATCTTTGGAATGATGTGTGGGCGAATGCTGCAGAAAGCCAGAGAGAAGGGGAGAAAGCCAAGCTACTTCAAGGCTGTCTTTTTTGCGTTCCTTCGAAATGTAATCATCAATTTCCTCCTCATGGTCCTCCTGAGCGGTCAGAGAATATCGGCAGCAGTGATGGTGAAAGTGCTGGTACGTCTGAACGAGAAACTCTCATTAAGCCAAATCATATGAGATTTGAAGAAATAAATGAAGAATGTAGTCAGAGGCTCAATTTGAAAGTTTAATGTGACACCATAACGGAGTCAGACGAGAGGACGAAAACACTTGTGCTACAGACCTTCTCCTCTGGCGTAGCTCAGTTGATAGTACTTGGTACACCCACCCATTAACGGTCGGAACACAGACCCAAGTTCGAAAATTGAAGTGAAGTGCTGAAATGTTGTATGGCAAAATTTAATACAGCTTCAGCATGAGTACAGAGAGAAAGATAGTAGTCCATGAGAAGCACTCCATATCGCACGCAAAATGAGCCAGGGACGAATCGCAAATAGAGGCACCAACCAAAGCATCACTGAAGAATTGGATCAACAAAACACGATGCGTCATATAAATCCAGAGTGTCCAAAAATATATATTTACAATCGGAACAAGACTTTCACACCTTTCCACGAAATCATAAAGGAACCAAAGTCCCTCTTCCACAGCGAGCAGCCTTCCCTCAACAAAATACGTTTCTACTACCCCCGGGCCGCCAGTAGCCGCATCAGGAGGAAAGTTTCGCAAGCTATCGAACCACAGCGTGAACTAGGAGGCCATTAAAGCCATTGCCATTGCCTTGCCTCCTGTTATACACACCCAACCCCCATTCTCTCAACCCCTACCATTCTAGTAGAAATCCAGTTACTATAGAAGAAGTAGAAACCAACCCCTACCATTCTAGTAGAAATCCAGTTACTATAGCAGAAGTAGAAACCAACCCCTATCATTCTATCTAAATCAGGAGACAAGGTCATCATGGAATGACACTAACGAGGGAGCAAGCACTGCAATGTGTCCTGAAAACAGTCAAACAAACAGAAAACCAACCCCTGTAGTAGAAACCAACCCCTAGTATCATTGTGACGGTCAGAAAGGTAATTAATCAATCAATCAACCACTCTGCCGTGCTGCCATCACCTGTGTACATGTCTGCTCCATTTCCTGCAAGAATGTGAAAGTACGCAGACAAAGGACATAGACAGGGTACATAAACAGATACGTATTCCTCGCTTGAATACAAAAATGTTACCCCTATGTGCACACCCGTCGATGCAGCTCTTACGAAGCCATGGAGCGGAACGAGGCTTCACTGCACATATCGCATTAAAGGAGCGCCTGAACTGCACAGTTAACCCCCCTTTCTTTCGCTTGGGGTAGTCAATGCTGGCAGTCTGAGTATTCTGAGTAATCTGTGCCTTTCATGTATAATGGGAAGCTGGACCCGGTTTCCAGCAGGTGTTGCTCCCCACCAATAGAACGGAGCATTGTTAAAAAAAATAAAAATAATAAAAAATAGTAATAATAATAATAAATAATAATAATAATAATAATAATAATAATAATAATAATAATAATAATAATAATAATAAAAATAAAAAAGCATTAAAGAAGTGCCTGACACAGCGCCGAAGAGTGCACGTCGTCGTACGAGTCGGAAGGGAAGATCAAAGACCAGCGTACCATTGAAATACCAAAATGGGGTTTAAAGGGAGGACCGGCACTGTAGATGTCCCGCTAACCATTTCCCTGCCGAAGAGGACATACTGCACCGCAGGCTGGGCCAGGTAGTACCAGGTACTGTCCCAAAAAAGCAGTTTCCAAAACAGACCCATGGCACAGGAAACCAAAAACAAACCGGTAGGAATCAAAGATTTACAACCCATCTAGTTCACAACTCCTGCCTTAACCCGAAAACAAGGTACGTACCTTGTATTCAAGTTACCTCCGAAAAACGGGTTCTAAGAAATCGCTGTTAAATTTTACAATAGAAGGTACCCTCAAATACAAGGTGCGTACCTTGTATTCGAATACAAGATACGTACCTTGTATTCAAGGTGCGTCTTGTAACTGTTACGTCTCTTTCTCTCTCTCTCTCTCTCTCTCTCTCTCTCTCTCTCTCTCTCTCTCTCTCTCTCTCTCTCTCTC